GGGGGGGATGGGTGGCGCGACAGAGAGAACCTAAATTATGAATTAGTACAAAAAATATCCAAGATATTAATTCCACCTCTACGTCTGTACCAAAAACACAATTGCAAAAATACAACTGCACTCAGTGTATCCTATCAGATCACCTTGCTTTACTTGGTGCCTTCCTATCTCTGAGATAGAGTTGTAGAATTCACCATGGGAATTGGCCAAAGTGCCCAACTATGTAAGTTTTGAGGAGGAATGTAGAGATAAAATAGCAAATTGCAAGTCAGAAAAGCAGCCGATAGGTAAGATGCCACCCCCACCCTCGTGAACCATCATACTTATCTCCTCCATCTCCCTTAGCTCCTTCACCTGTGATGGCACCCGTAACAGAATTATATATTGTACAGTCCAGTTCTGAGGTACCCTAAAAGTCTGACAAAATGATCTTCCATTGATTGTTGAATTATACTATTAGGATTTAGTACCCATATATTTTCACACCACCAGCTATAATGAGATTATACTGTGTTATACTTTACATACTCCTGAAAGCACCTCCCTGTACACCAAACTGTACTTTATGTATTCCTGAAAGCCCCCCTCAGTACACCAAGCTGTACTTCGCTGGTTCTGAATCCTGAACACCCCATTTCTGTATGCTGTGTTATACTTTACATATTTCAGAACACCTCACTCTGTACAATGCGATGCACTACTGAAAACCCTATTATGTACACTGTTCAGAAAAAGATGAGTTAACACATCTGTCTGAATAGCTTAAAACTTCACTTTTAATTTACACATTTAAAGACATCTCGGTAAAAAGAAACAAACCAGTCCACGTTAAAAGACATTTCAACCTGACAAGGTCTTGTTCACACAAGTTACTGAAATGTTGGTAAGCCTTAAATAGGAATTGCACCACGCCCATAAACGCTTTACTGCATTGAAAGTATTATGAGGAATAACCTATAGCAACCAATAACACGTTTTCCAAATGTTTACCATCTGCATTTTAAATTAGTTAAACCTCTTCATACTAAAATACAATTTTATTCTATAATATCCTTTTTTAAAAAAACAATGTTTCAGCATTCTAAAACTGTACCTAGATGGTAAATCCATAAAGCTTCTTTGGACAGAAAGCTAGTTCTTACATCACCCCCTATTAATCCAATAACCTCAATAATCTGAAAGATGTTTATCTCCACTTTGCTGGTTCAACAAATGCCTAGAAAATAATAATTCACAACCTCCATATCTCCTGAGGAAGTAGACTTCGGTCTTTAAAGTGCGTAGAGAATTGAAGATTCCATCGTGAAGACACTTGATTGAAATTGACCTTTATTCCAGGGAATGCATATTTTATGGTTCATCTGTATACTGATGGCATTCAAATTAGGAGGTTATATAGAGTTGGAGATTTTGTGGTGTACAAAAGGTTTTTTATCATTCAAGCTTTTTAGATAGTCAAGTATGAATAAACATTGTTTTTTAGTATATAATTTAGTTTCTTTGATATCGATTTTGGTACCTGAAAAGTCCCGCAAAATGTTTTGGCAAGATACTTTCAATAACCCTGAATAATCTGATAACACTTCGGAATACAACTTGATACAACTGAAGGGGAAATATTAGTAGAGATGGATGCTAATAATAGTGATAGCAAGAATGAGACCAGCAATCAGGTTCTCTCCTATTACAATAAGCCACATAAATTCTGCAGTTCCAAATGGATCAGACGGGAAGAAAAAAATTTCCCTCGCCACCAAATACCCACAGACGAACAGGGTTCCCAAGAGATTGAAGACTGTAGTGAATTTGTCATAAGACGCACTCTTACAAACTGAATATACTGTTTTGGAGAAAATACTAATTTTTGCATTGACTTCCCTCTCTAACTTCTTTCAGACCATAGGTAATGTGAATCGGTTTGTAGGATCATGTGACTTATTAAAGATCCAGACTTGGATCAGGATTACAAACATAATACAAAAGATGTAACAAAGAGGATATCATTAATTATATAATTGATACTGCCTATGAAACCTCAAGGGTTAATTGAAAATATCTCATTAGTAAAGTGCATTTAAGGATCTGCAGGAACTACAGGATGATAGCCATGAGACTTTAATTTTTTAGTGCATGACCTTTTCTCTTACAATGTATTTATAAACATAAGTGATTGTAGGGGAGTTTGCATCTGAGTTATAACTAAAATAAATGAAATTCTTAATACAGTGACATTAACGCAAAAACAGAAGAGAAAATTAGAGGAACTGTGAGTAAACAGGATGCTGTTTGCATAGCTGGATAGCAGAATGACTTAACATGACGTAACAATGACGTAACAGCAAGATATCACTTTTTATTCTATGAGTAAGGTTTGACTTGTAAAGGTCCAAGATGATTGCATACATGTTTTTAGATTTGACATCTTTTCGGTGTATATTTTCACAAAATAGGGAAAAGTAAAGAGTTATCGACTTAAAAATGATTATGGATAAAATTATTTTGTAAGCCTATAGCAAGATGGTAACAAGAATTTTGCTACAGCTATGTTAATACCATCCCTTGAGTATTTGGTTGGTAATTCATGAAGTGGGACCATAAAATGGGGCCTATTCCTAATGTACAGGCCTACAGCCTCCCGACTTTGTATTCACATACAGTATTTCTTTAATATGAGCAAGTTGTTCCCATCCAGTAGAGAGTGTTGTTAGAAATTAAAAGATCTACTCTGCTTTGGCTGGAAAACTTTTTTTTTCAATTGATATCCAGTTATATTTCCTAAAGGATACTATAGGAATATATTAATTCAGGAAATTACTTCTATCGATATAGTTAGTATTCTGTAGATTTTTGTTAATGTTAATTGAAATATTTAATACGCTGCTTTAGCTGATCTCTCTACAGCAGTAATCTGGATCAGCGCTTGCTTCAGCAAAAGCTTTGGAGGTCGCACCTGGACCCGGCTGAACCGAAGATTGTGGGGCAAGCCTAAAATGTGTAACACTTCCGGGTTCGGATCCACAAGCCGACTGCGTTCCAGAGTGGAACGCATCGGCCGTAGGCGTTTCAGGGCGCCTCCTCCCCCTGGCCGCGTATCGATATGCGTTCCAGGGTGGAACGCGGAAGTGACGTCACGCCGCAAGGCTCCTCTTCCGCGTTCCACCAGTATAAAACAAGGCCTATGAACCCATGGACGGCGTTCCACTATTGGATTCATGGGCCAGCACCCCAGGAGCTACCCAGCATTGCAGCCACCAGCCTCCCACCGGGACCGCTCACCTCCACCGCACGGAAGCCTCTCCAGGACCTCACAGGATCTACCTGACCAAAGGGTTCTATCCCCTCAACTGCAAGTATCTGCATTATATTCAAACTGTGTTACTCAGGAGTGTCTCTCCACTGCCACCTGGTGGAGGCTAGCTGTACATGCCTCACTATTTCCATGCTAAAAGTGTTTAACTGGATCGCTACTACTGCTATTGTACCAACCACATACAGACTGCCTTAGTAATTACCTGCTCCTCAATTTCATTCCCATTTAAGGTGTTTAAGGAATATGAAGTAATATTCCACAGATACATGCATCCTGCCTTTTTGTTATTCCTTAACGCGGTATATGATTTCTAGATCCCAAACTCTCCGCTTGAGATTGAGAGAGCCGCCTGGGATCTAAGCCTGACACCGCATATTCAACCATCAGTTGGAACCGCAGCTGTGATCCAAACTTACCTCCCTGAAGTACGGTACATGACAAAATGTGACCTTTGACCACTGGGCTTTGCTAGAGGCGCTTTCCAGACCTCTGTGCACTGTGTTAGTTAGCCACAGAGTGCTCTTCAGGTCCAGTGCCATGGCAAAGCCTCTGGTGTAACCCAGTCTCTGAACACTTTCAGACCTTAGATTAGTGGCACAGTCTCTGAAGCCTCTCCTTGTGAGTAAGCCACTGAATGGGGGAAGGCTAACCTAACCTAATATGTGTCCTTCCAGCACTGAACTCCAGATTGTGCCACTGGGTGACATATACATTCCATCCTAGACCATGCCCCTGACCAGGGCTGTCTGTCACAATATGTAATTGATCATTTTTTATCAGAACAGTTTACAATATAATAAAAGGTATCTCATGTACATGTCAATCCAAATAAAGCCATTACAAATACATAACATTCATTTAATTTCATATTTTGCATCACATGAATATTTTGTAATCACCTCATAATTATTTATTTACATTTTTTTTAGGACTGTAATCATGTGTGACAAGCCAATCCTTCACTACTTCAATGGACGGGGGAGAATGGAATGTATCCGTTGGGCGTTTGCTGCAGTTGGTGTTGAAGTCAGTATAGTGCAATGTTAAATAATTACAGTGATTTAAAGTCCAACTCCACTTTTCAATTGTTTTAAAAATAAATGACCCAGTAGTGTAAAAAAATAATATTTCTCTGCAATATTCAGCTTTCTTAGCTCCTCTCCTGGGCTATTTCCTGCAGACTCATCGCTCTGTGATTAGTATTGCCTCCCTTCCAGGTTGAATGACACTCAACATCATCCAACTTTTCCTGTAAGCCCAGGCTGTCAAAGACACAACCCCTGAGGGTCCACCTTCACCCAAGCCTGGGCTTCAGCTGGGTACGTGCGATCAAATTTCGGCCGATTCAGCAGGAATCTGCTGGAATTCAGTCCATGAGTGGCCCTATCTCATCGACAAAAGTCGATCATTGGATTGACTTTTGTCGAGGGGTTGGAAATTTGAAATTGTTGGCCGAACAGTGCTTTCAGCCAATTAGCTGGGCGCCACTGTCAGAATATAATGTACACAACAGGAGATATGTTCATCCGTGCTGTTAGCATGTATGGCAGAATCATTTGTATTATTTTGCTGAATTAAAAAAGGAGTCTCTCCATGTATACCCAAACTAACAGTACTCTTGGACAGGACAGTGCACAGGCTTCAAGCTCAAAACATAAGGCCATGTACATTCAAAATGATTCAGCTCTGATGAATATGATAAATAATCTGTGTTTGCTGTAGCATAGAGGCAAGATGATGAACAGGGCATAAATAGATTCTGCGTGAACCCCTTTCTATCTTCTACTATAGTATACACTTAAATATCATTCTTTTCTACATCACATATATGATGCACAGCAGATTTGCTAAGCTAGGCAGCACATTTCCCAGTGGGATGTGAGTTGGCTTTCTGTATGTAGATACCTATACGCAAAGAAAGATAGTGTTATGACCATGTGCCTTTAAAATCCAGTTCACATGTGTGATGGGGAATAACCCCAACCAGAAGTCTGGACACCAAAGATGGCGGTTTGGGTGATGATGCATACATAAGCTTAATTTGCTAGACACCCAAAAGTGTACGAGTTCCATTTTTTTGTTTTTCACAGGGGAATGCTTTATAAATAAAATTGGATTCATCATTTACATTCTGATGGCATAATAGACCGCTCAATTGGAAACGTTTGTCTGATTTTTACTGTAGCAAAAACTGAAATAAAACCTTTTATTTTTCCTATTTTTAAATGTAATCCTGTCATTGGTTCATGAACACTAGTCAAGATGTACAGTTACACAGTCTCTCCCTTCTCCACTCTCTAGCCAGAGGCTGAACAGTAAGGGGGAACTTGGTTAGGGAACAGCCTTAAGGTCTTGGGGAACTTTGGACTCCCTGTACTTTCCTGTTTATGTCAGAGTAGTATACCATACCATATAATACGTAATATGGTGAATGATGTAAGCATTGCATCATTACTTAGATTGTGTATTGTACCCATCATGGTTATTATACTAAGTGATATAACCAGCGAACACAATTTCCTTGCACCCTTAGCCAACAGCCACATAGGAGATTTTTAATAGCTCTCTCATGTTACTGATATTTCTAGTTCAAGTTGCAATTGAGTAGCAGATGGCACAGATGGCTTCCTATGGGGTGAGACCCGGTGAGTTATGCAAGTAGCATGCAGTAGCATGTTGCAGCAGTCAATCGTACATTATTAGAGCATTGTACTGCCATACGAGACTGATCACTGCTACATACTGCTTGCGTAGCTTACTACATAGGGAGCCGTTTGCTATATTTGTTCTTTTTAGCAATCTATCGCTACTGCAATTATTATCTATCAATTTAGCAGCATGACAGAGCAACCAAAATCTTCTGTGTAATTTTAGCCTAAGAACCAATTCCTGACTACCGTGTTTCCCCGAAAAAAAGACACTGTCTTATATTTTTTGTGGCTCAAAAAACACACTAGGTCTTATTTTTGGGGTAGGTTTTATTTTTAATGTATAACAATCCAAAGTTAATGCAAATCCAAATTAAATAATCCAAAATGGCAAAGATAAGAATGGGGTGATCAGGGCAATCAGGGGTGCTATCTGTTTCCAAGGGCAATTTGGTAACCAGAATGAGCGAAGTGCACTTTCACTATCGATTCCTCACAGACGGAGTGCATTTGGTATCACTTCACCTGTGACAGGAGCCGGCACTATAGAGGAAGCATCGGCTTATGCGGCTCTGCTCCCTGCGCTGCTGCCTCGCTTCCTCTAGTGCTGCCTTCGTTGGCACCGCTGATTCTCTCCGGCGACTCTTCAAGTTCCCCCTTATGCCACCACCGGCCCTGGGAATGGTCACAGCTAGCTCTTTTTTTCGGGGTAGGTCTTATATTTGAGCAATTCCCAAAAATGGTACTAGGTCTTATTTTCGGGGAAACAGGGTATATTATACCCTAGAACCCTATTCAGTATTATTTTATTTGTAATGATGAGGTAGCCTGGTGTGAGATAGGTATTGCCCTAAAACTGGCCACAGATTTCAGGGGATGGTCGTTCATACAAGCATACAGACTGCCCTCTATCTATGGGCATGTTTATACTAAGAGTTCTTGTCTCTACTCCAATTCTTCTTACCAATGTAGGTTTTTCAGTAGATATCAACAGATTTTTCCTTGCATGCTTGAAAGTTTCATTGACTGATGCTACATACTTATTTATTTTTTGATTTTATCTTGCTAGTTTGAAGAGAAGTATTTAGATACAAAGGAGGACTATGAACAGATGCTTAAGAGTACGTATTTGTTAGTATTTATCCTGTCCATGTTTTCACAAGCAAGATTTGACTTTGTTGGGTTCTTATGTACTATATGCTTGTTACTTGGTAATACTCTAAATAATGGAAAAAATTATTGAGGAGAATATATTTTACAACCAATGTTCATAATGTGTGAGTCGTACTAAAGGTTACTGGGGTGCTTTAATAAATGGTACACTTTAATGTGCTGGTAACCTGCCATGTCTCAATTCAACATGCAAAATTATTAGAAGTAATGATGTATATTTGATTGCGATTAGCTTAAAGCTAAACTCCAGGTATACAGTTTTATGCATAATTACATTGGTCCAGTTTGCATATGATATCCTTGTGGCCCACAAGGATCCTTGCCAAAGCTACTACAGTATTTTACATTGATCTTCCAGGTCCTATATGGCACTGAGCTGAGTGGCTTCCCCTCTGCTCTGAAAACACAGGGGATGGCTCACTTGGCACAGCAGCCATTCAGAGAATGCCTAATATTTTTAATCAGTTAATGCAAGCCATTCCTTGATTGGACGAGGACTGAATCGTGAGGTCACAGCCCCTCTAATCCCCATCTAATGAGTGAATGCCTTGTATTGATTGCTAAAAATACTAGGTGTTTTGTAAATGGCCTTTGTGCCAAGCGAGTGAACCCCTGTGTTTTCAGAGCAAAGAGGGAGTCCCTCAGTAAAGCACCATACAGGACCCAGAAGATCTCAGTAAAGCACACTAGTAGCTCTGGCTTTTCAGACAGCAAAATGTGGTCTGGGTATCAAGGTGTTAAAGACCTTTTCATGTGAAGGGGTTAAAGTGACTCTGTATGTAAAAGTAGTTGACTGAAATAACAGTAGATGTAGACCCTAACTGAATGATATTTAGTTTGTTAAACCACTGTGTATCATAAACAATTGCATTTTTTCATAAAATACTGTATTCACATTATTTAATTCTTTTTATCCTTCTCAGTTTTGCAAATCTCCCCCTTTCAGCATATATGCATAACAAGAGTTGGCTTTACATCATTGCTTTGGCTACCTGATAGTGACAACAGTAGACCATGTCTGCACAATTTGTATTGCATGTTCACTTGTTGTAGTCTCCACCAGGGATGCATGTGACAGAGTGACAATGTAAGAGCACAACTGGGAGACGGGGGCCAGAGCAGTGTTACCTCATATCAGGAAGAGTCCGAACAAGGACCTTCATGGAGGGAACGCCAGGTATTTTAATAAAAGCAACATGGAAGGTGTGACGGACTGCCTGGTATTCCGACTGGGTACCTCCGTCAGAAATCAGCTTCCTCTCCGCTGGAACCCGAATTCCAGTGTCCTCAGCACAAACCTGCCTAATTATTGGATAGAACCAATATATTAGGACAGAAAGCTAAACTCTTCAATCATCAGCCAACACCAATGTTGAAGTGAAAACCAAGAACTGACTTTATTGAAAACCAGCTCAGTATATATACAGTTCTGGATGTCTAAAAACATAACGCAATCAAACATGTACAGCATGCAACCAGACATCCCCTCCTCAATGCCTTAATGAATGAATAGGGAGAGCGGAGACACATGTGATGGGATTATCCCCTGAGTGTATCATGTGGTAATCTACTCATTGACACCCGGAGTCAGCTACTCCTAGAGTCTGCTATCTTAATGCCATCATTAACACAATAGAACAAAGGGTCAAATAAACTGTAACACATTCATTGGGAGTCTCAGTGCAGAGTAAACCCTTTTTGTGTTGCTGGATTCACACCCTGTACCTTTAATGGGCAATGGGAAAGATGCAGCATATAAACTCCACACATAAATCAGGGTTATTAGTTCCAAGGGGAACACGTACATGGCAATCCTCGGGGTTCCAGGAACAGTCCCTCAAGTCTTAGTTCCATGTAACCCCAAGAGGTCTGAGGGGGGTCTCCATATTCCTAGGTCCATAGTCAGTAGGAAGGAGGCTAGCCCTCAGGCTCCTCCAGCAGCCCCAGTGGTGGTTCAGTCCATCACAGAAGGAGCCCAACTTCTGCCTCCTCCCTGCATCAGAGCTGGGTATGTGAACACCACCAGTTTAAGTGTTGTGCCTCCACCCTCTTCACTATTCGGTGCTATTCATGAAGCATAGCACAGCAGTGTGATGGGGATGGAGGAACAACACCGGAACTGATGACATTGTTAGACCCAGTATTAATGCAGCGGGAACTACGGCTCCCACTGTATATCAGCACTGCTCAGTGGAGCTTAGGGTAAGCTCCTAAAGGAATAAACATAATTACATTTGTAACATGAGAATGGAAGATTAAAAAAATAAAGGAAATGTACTTGGAGTTGGGCTTTACGCAATAAATAATTTCTTCAATTAATTGGTTTTGAAAACATTTGTGTGTGACTTGTAAATACATGCATATAAAGTATATACTGTATGAGGACAACTATATTTGCTCATGACTTATGCAGACTTTGATTCCTGCTTCCAGGTATTGGTCACAGTGATTTACAGGGCTATTCTCAAAGCTGCCGAAGGCAGCCGAGTGACTAACCGAGCCGAAATGAACAGAGCCGAGCGAGGTTCGGCTATTTACTCCGGCTCAGTACGGCTGATTTCAGCCGTACATCGGCTCTGTACGGCTGCCTTCGGTCAGCCAAACATGCTCCGCATGTTTGGCTGAGCGAAGTGCAGATGGACTTCGACTCAGCTGATCCAACAACCTTCGACTCAGCTGATCCAACAATATGTAAAACCTTGACCCAGCGTATAGTTGGGTGGATGCTGTTCACGTGTCCCTAGCTCCCCTACATGGTGCATAGGAGTAAAAGGAAATTCCTATACTCCTCAGCACCATCTAGGTCAGCGACGTGGGAACAGCATCTACCTAACATAAGGGTTTGGTTTTTTTTAATATTTTCAGCCAAGATTAACACAACTCTTACCCAGGTTTTACATATTATCCAATACAATCCAATTTAGTTAAATGTGTGAATCTTGGATGAAAACATTTATAAACATACCCTATAGTGTTAAATCTGTGCACCTTAATTTATCTTAATGTTTGCTCTTGTATTACTCAAGTGCATAACTGCTGCAGGTACTTTAAAAAAAAGGCATTTGTATTGAATGTTTAAATATGGTCAAATACTCTAAATACATACTGGAGGTTTAGCTGAGATTACAATATGAAATTATTATTATAAATAAATAATAATATTATTAAAGTAAACCTTGAGGTGCATACGGGGACCATAGCCAACCTGCTGAAAAGTGCAGTTGTTGTTACAGACATTGCCATAGTGCTTAAGTCCACCCCATTTCCTTTTATCTGTAATCTGGTGATCCTGAAGCATGACTGCTGGGGATGCTAGAACACATGCATCCATCAATCAAATTCAGACCTGCATTAAAAGTTTTTAAATATGACTGGTGACATATGAAGCACAGACAGGATGTTAAACAATACAAACTTCAGGAAGTATGCTCCTTCAGCCTCCCTCAACAGATCTTCTTTAGAGGTGTGTGTGCGCTTATTCTGCAGGGTATTATGCAGAACTCTGATTTAGATAAATTAAATCACCTTTCTGACTTTAGCACAAATCATTTTATTGGATAGTATTAAAAACACACTAAATAATTTGTTGTTTAAAATTGTTCATAGAGAAACACAGAGGGTGCAGGTGCTGACTACTATTTGTACATTTACATTGCTAATTGCCTGGTGTTAGAATAAACATTACTGTGTTTATAGCAACAACTTCTGCATTATACAATTTCGGCCGCTAGATGGCAGTGTTTATAAATTATGTTATATATCTATGGTGTATATGCTCTGTTGTATTGAATAAGGTAGAGAATAAAGCTGTGGCTTCCTTCCTCTGTTTTTCAAGCCATGAGCAGCATGCATAGCTAACTGTGTGTTTGTGTTTCTCTGTGAGGCTGTGCAAGCAGCTCATGGGAGAGCATGCATGTAGACAGGAAGAGGCTGCAACAAGGTTAAAAGACAGGTGAAAACAAGCATTTTATTGAAACAAAGTGATAATTATTTATATTACACCATATTTTAGCAAACTAAATGTAATTCACCTTGGGCTTACATCTATCCTAAAGTGATCCTGTCACCACAAGGTCATTTGTACAGAATCTACAGACTGTAAAAGATAAGGCAATACACTTAATAAGGAAACTCCAAAGATACCCTAACAGTGGGGCTCCCCGGGCTCTGCAGGGGTTAAATGCTCATTTTTGTCTGGGGTAACATTAAAAAGCAGTTTTACTTACCGTATCCCTTTCTCCCACAGTCTTCCTTTCAGCTGCCCGGTCTGCTGAAGCTGCTTCTCATTGGTGCTCCTTCGGTGGCAGACACTCTGACATCATCACATACAGCTCAGGACCAGCAGTCCTGCAATGTATGTGTGGACATTGAGGACCTGCTCACAACCCAGAGCATCAGAGAGAAGTGGAGATCATAACCTGCCGGGGGAGAGAGGGATGAGGTAAATGAAACTGCTTTTTAATGTCACCATAGACAAAAAATGAGCCATCCAACCCTTGCAGATTGGGGGAGCCCCACTGCTAGGGTAACTTTGAATTTTCCCCGGAGCTCAGCTTTACGTTTTATGTTTTACGTTTTATATATTTGGTTTTTTTTCCCATTGCTTTCTCCTAAGGCCCCGTTCACATATAGCGACATACCTTTTGCAGCGGATCCGCGCGGCCGGGATAGCGCGACTTTCGGGGCGACGTTCCAGCGACGATCCAGCGACGGTAGCGCGACCTTCCCCGTCGGGCTCCATAGAAAAAAAGTAAAATCGCGCAAAATCCGCCGAAAAAAGGGTCCGGTAGAAGCGACTTGCGACCGCGACGAGCGACGCGCGACATGGAGTTAAGACAGCTCCATTGAATAACATTGGCCGGCGACTTCTCGCGATATCGCGCGGCAAAAATGCGCGATATCGCGGCGGAAATCGCGCGACAATTCGCTATATGTGAACGGGGCCTAAAGTGTATCTTCACCAAAACCTTTCTTGTAGGGTTTGGATAGCATAAGGGAAAGGTTATACCTCCTGTCAAGCTTTTATTGCTGTCTGTGTCCCCGTTGGAGAGACTCACCTCACTATTTGTATTGAGGAGAATAAAGGGAAATCCAAATTTTAGAGCTGTCCCCAGAACAAGGGGTGAGGGAAAATCTTCCAATGGGCACACCTTTTCAGGGGGCAACAGTCTAAGAGGGGAATTCCCTTCACTTTGGAAAATTCCTCTGACCTCCTGTTGTGTCTTGGATAGCAAATGAAGCGACGTTACCCCATTGGTACACAGGAAAAAAAAAACCTGCCAGCAGTTTTATCTCGTCCCTACTATTTCCATAACTAAAAACAACGTTGCACTTTAAATCCAGTGTTGTACACTGTGTCGCATTCATACTGTCCCTTCTCTGTCATTACTAAACCTTCCTAATTTTGCTATAACAATTGTGCCTGTGTATACTTCACTGAGCAATTCTATCTTATAGGCCCTGCATGCCACAATATGAAGCATGAACCTCCATAGAGGTTAATAGAGGCCTCTTCTTTGTAAGATGTGCCAGGAATGATTGACTTTGGCTCTGTTTGGAGGTGACTTTTATTTATTCAGTCTGCACTTGTTCTTTTCCACTGTAGAAGGAGATTTGCTGTTTCAGCAAGTACCAATGGTGGAAATAGATGGCATGAAACTAGTATCAACAAAGGCCATCCTGAGCTACATAGCTGGAAAATACAACATATATGGGAAGGATCTAAAAGAAAGAGTATTGTAAGTATTCACTGAAAAAGTGTCCTCTATACATGTAAAGACATATAAATCACAGTATACAAAGTGGTGCAATAAACATGACTGTGTTTTATAACCCATAGTAGTAGATAAAATTGTGTCACATTCTTATATCATGGCACCATGGCCTATTACACACCGTATGCAACAACGATCTTTGCAAAGGCCAGAATCTTTTAGCAAAGTTATTATGAAGAGAGATAGTGGGAAAGTGTACATTTCTATTAAACGATAATGCAGACAGCTAGGCTTTCATGTCATTTTTGCTCAACACTTAAAGTTGATACATTTTAAAACGGATGTGTTCTAACTAGTCTTACTCTTAATTTCTCCCCAAAGATAAAACTTTAATTTGTGAAAAATGTGTTCTCTCACTTCAGGCGGGGTAACTCTGATTGAAACCATGGACAGAGATGTGTGATTGAGGAAGGGATGATTTGCTGTTCTGCCTTATTCAATTATTCAGCTTGGACTACTGAGCTCTGTAAACCTGTTTTTTCTACCTGTATGAGATTATGATCACATAACTTCTAATGTGAAATTAAAATATTAGGAATATAACTATTGAATGAAATATTAACATTTATGTCAGTTGGTGGCTTAAAGGCAGCATTTCATGAGTAAAACATTGATTCAGACATTGCTGACTTCTCATACTGCAAATGTTAAGTTGCCTGGCTCTCTAGTGTCACTAACCTGGAGCAACTATGGAGATAAGGACCTCTGACCTTACTCTGACTTTCCTGATCTGAACACTAATTCCTGGTCAGTGACTCTCAAAGGTTTGAAGCCACAGTATCAGAACAACAGTCAGAAAAATAGTACTTTTAGAAGGAAATCACCAATAATTGCCTCCATGATTCTCTTAGGAAAGGTTTACTTTATCAATAGCAAAACTGAAATAAATACTGATAGTTCTTGGTAATGGGGACATTATAGGTGTCCTAAAACTGGTCATGTCACACCTAGTAAGCTTAAATAAAACGGTGTTGGAATTTAAAGCTGTGTGGACCTGCACATCCAATCATAGTGGGACTGGGTTGGGGGCCTTTTCAAAGACAAACAAGGTGTGTAGGGCTTGTAGCCCATTCAGACCCCATTCAGAGCAGGACCCACAGTCAGTGACAGCTGGGCTTTATATAGCTACTTGCTTTCTTTTCAGACTTATTTACAGTTCCAGCACCTAACAGAGGTAAGTCTTCAAGCACCGACTTCCTTTGTTACTCAGAGTTGTCATGTAACCAACTGCAAATTGCTGCAAAGTTAATGCTAGTTAACTTTCCTGTGCCAGGCCCTGGAGTTGAATGTCTGAATAGGAAGCAGGCAGCTAATTAATGTCTAGTGATTGAATGTCCCACTCTGATCAAAGTCCCAGTGGGGGAGCAGGTTTAACCTAGCTATGTATTAAGTCTGCACTCTTATTATATATCCTTTTGTGGGACTGTAGCAAAGGAGCAAAGGAAATATATCTGATCACAATCTGATCTCCTTTGCTTGCCTCCTCTCCCCCTCTTCCCGTTGCCTTCTCCCCCCTTCTAAAACCCATTCTCACTTTCTCCTCACCTTCCCTCTTCCACAATCCAGTGTTGTTCCTTCTTTTCTCTCTCTGTTCCACAGTCCATTCTAGCTAGCTTACACCCTTCACAGTACGTTCTACCTGACTTCCTCCCACATGTATACTATCCAGTTGCACATTCTCCTCACTGCTCCCTCCAAAATCCAGTCTCATTGCTATCTCTCTTTCCTTCCTCCACAATCCAATCTCAATGCTTTTCTCTTCCTTCTTGATGATCTGGTCCAGAGCCGTAGCTAGCTCTTTTTGCGCCTAAGTCAAGAACGGAAAATTGTGCCCCCCAACAGACGTGTGCGGTATGTGACGTTTTTCCCCCCGCCTCCAGAATGGCAGCGCACATGCGTAGAATCCAGAATAGCAACAATGTGTTTCCTTTGACTAAACTAATGAAAACATTTTTAGTTTCCGTTCACTTTGTCCGAAACAAATTTGTAGTCATTGCACATGTCTAGTAATAAGCGTGTGTTTGTGGGGGGAGGGGGGGGATTGTGTTTTTTATAAATTTATTTTTATTATTTTTACTGTTGGGGGGCTTCGGGGAAATATTAGGGTTCTAAACAGACCCCTGACATTTCCCTTTTGAAATAGAAAAAGAGATTGCGGACACAGAGTCCTCTGCCCATAGAGGCGGGGGAGAGCAGCGGGGATCCGAGGAGAAGCTGGAGCCTGTGCCACTCCTCTTCTCCCTGCCGAGCCGCCTGGCGCCCCTGTTGCCGATGGCGCCCTGTGCCCGCCATGGCAACAGAGGCGAGGGGGCGCAGTCAGGCCGGTCCTGGCTGCACCCCCTCTCGGCTGCGCCTGAGGCGAGTGCCTCACTCGCCCAATGGTAGCTACAACCCTGATCTGGTCATGCTGCCTATTGTCTCCCTGTTGCCCAGTTCAGTCCTGCTGCCTTCCCTTTCTCACTTCCTACACAATCCAATCTTTGTGCCTCCCCCCTGCCCAACAATTCTGTTTTCATGCATCCTTTTCTTCCTTCCCTCGCTATACTGTTTTGCTGCCTCCTTTATACTCCCTTCACTATACGTCCCCCATTGCCCCCTCTCTCAATACTGCATCACCTTCATTTCATCCTTTACGATCCCCTTATCGTAAGCATATACAGTGACATCATAAGGGAGATGTGTGAGGTGTGGCCCGCTCCAGGTGACACCATCAGAGGGGGTAACATCAAAATGACTGACATTCATTTTGGTGTCACCCCCTCTGAAAAGTCGGGCACTCGGTCATGGATCGGGAGCCTGACAGTTGCACAAGAGAGGAGGGGACCTTATCCCTTCAGGTGAAAGTCCCCTTCTCTCTTTGCCAGAGTCCATCACCAAAATGATCACCAGCAGGTAAGCACTCGTGAGATCATTACGATACGTTAAGTGATGACGTTTCAGCGGGGGGTCACCCGGCGGGTGCTCCGGGTGGCACCCCCACACGAGAGAGGAGGGGACCCAGCGGCATACCTTATCCCGCCGGGTGAACGTCCCCCTCCAGCATCATTCACCTAAATGGCCGTCAGTAGGTAAGCTCGCGTGATGACTTCACACACGTGTGTAGTGATGTCCCGGCGGCTGCTCCGGGTGACACCACGCCTGGGGACGCACTTGAGCATATATATGTGAAAAGGTGTGTCAGAATAATGACAAAGTGATTCTCTGTTTTTAGCCCATAGAAAGCTGTCCCAACCATGAAGGGGCCAGTTGATTGTTTTTGTCTCTCAGATAAAAAGTTAACATTCCCAACCTGGATACAACTGTATAAGGCCGTATAAAACATTTATTAGTATTTTGGAAGCATCTTCATTAGCTCTGAATAGATTGTAAAGCTTACAGCTTTTTTTTCATTCACTTTTCCTTGTATTTTGTAAGATACATACATTTCATTTTCAATCCGAGGAATATTTATTAGATTTAATTTTTAGGAAGAAACGTGTGGTCAACTAAATCAGGTTTTTTTATATTCAGTACTGCACATTGCAGTACTTATACAGTACTTATAATTAATGTGTTTTCTTGTTTTTTGATCCAGCATTGACATGTATATTGACGGAACCAGTGACCTAATGGCACTCATCCTAACAATGCCCTTCCAGACTGAAGAAGAAAAGCCGAAACAAAGGGATCTTATCAAACAAAGAGCTTTGAACAGATATTTTCCAGTGTATGAAAAAGTATGATTTTTTTTTTTACGTTTAACAATGGTCTACATTGATAATATGTGGAAGTAGAAGTCTAACCATAATGTACTAGAAATCTAGATAATACTGTCACCTAACAATGACCTGATCACTACACATTGCCTGCACACTCTATATTCAATGCGTTGTTAAAGTGGGCCCTTTACCCATATCTTTAAATTAACAACAAAGACTCCTTTAGAAATGTTTAGTAATGACAATCTACAAACACATTCTTCTAGATAATTGCCGGCTTTTTATTCTGCATGCCTTCGTTTTCTTTTCCTCCCCAGTCTTCTCACAGTGGCCATGTTTACTAAGGGCAGGGTACTAGCTCTCCCTTTACTTCCTGAACTCTGGCACTTATGTGCAGAACATAACTGATATTAACATGTTATAAGTAAAAAAACACCATAGATTGTTAACCCCTTCGTGACTGACGACGTACAGTGTACGTCGCCAGCATCGGGGCTGTTTAAACAGACTCCCGGCGACTTTTGCCGCCGGGACTCTGTTTAAACTTGTAGAGCCGACTGTCGGCTTTACAACAGAAGCGATCCTGGCGACTTACCTGTCGCCAGATCGCTTCTGCATCCCGAAGAAGGGGCCACCAGGGAATATCCAGTTGCTTTAGGGGATCAGTATGGATTTTTTCCCCCTGTTGGAGGAAATTGGATCATGTTTTAGCAGGGTTTTTTTTTAGCCTTCCACTGGTTCATCGGTAGGCAACTGTGGCCACATAGTTCTATTTATGGAGGTTTTCTGATTATTTTTGTTTCTCTATTTATTGCACTGAATGGATTTGTGTCCGTTTTCAACCTGACTAGCTATGTATCTATGTAATAGCGTAAAATATGACCATGACATAAAGCACATCATTAAGTTTTTTTGTTGACGTTTGTGATTACATTTACCATTTTTTTATTGTGAAGCTAATCTAATATTTTACACTTTTAGGCTTTGGAAAAGAAAAAATATTTAGTCGGAAACAATTTGAGTTTAGCAGATGTGAATCTCATGGAAGCCCTTGTAACAGTGGAAGAGGTACATTTTGACATCCTGCAGAACTTTCCTAATTTACAGGTAAACAAACTACAGTACATACCTTCATTGTGTGTTATGCCATTGTTGATGAAACTGATGCAAATAGACTCTCTAGAGTTTTTTTTTAATGTTACTTGGTTACATTATTTTACCTCTCTGATGGCTGCATAAAAATATAGATTAAAGATTGCTAGAATGTAGTTGTTCAAATAGGTGTTATGTCCTTTGTTTAACCTGGAACAGTAATAATATTGGTGCAGTGAAATATATGGTTCAGCATATACTTCTTCCTCTTATTCGCACCACTCCAAAATGGTAATTTTTCATTGTTTATATACTTCATGCACTATGTTTCCATTGGTCACCTAGGCATTATATTTATGTTATTACATTTATATTAAGTATTTAATTTAGTCTTTAATGTGGATATTATTTTCTATACCCTTTTGTAGCAGTGATGGGTTTTAATATGCTGTTGTATTACTTTCTTCTTTAGGCTTTCAAAGCAAGTATGTCTGCAATGCCAGCAATTAAGAAATTCTTGGAGCCAGGGAGTAAAAGAAAGCCTATTGCTGATGAAAAATATGTAAACACTGTAAAGGGAGTTTTATTCAGCTGATCTGGACAAGAAATGTCAGCACTCTGCCTTAATAAAAAATACAATAAGATGGATATGACTTGTGAACTAAAACTAAAGTTTGCATTAGAGTTTATACTTAAGAGTTTTGCATTAAACAGTTTCTTGAAATTCTTTATTCCCTATTGTTTTTAAAAGCATTATTATCACCCTTGTGGTCCTGTCACAGTCTTTCCTTTATCTGCAGTATAAAAGATAAAATCCTAAGTGCCTGTTCACACCATGGCGGCTGCAGATCAGCACGGTTTCTGCGCTGATTTCAAAAGGGAGGTTTTGGGAGTTTTTAATTGCGTTTCAGCTCTGAAACGCAATTAAAAATGCCCAAAACCACGCTGATTAGCGCAGTTCCATTGAAAGCTGTATGGAAACCGCACTAATCAGCACGGCAAAAAAGGGTCAGGGAGCAGTTTGGATCGCGCTGAGCCACACAGTCGCATGAACTGTCCCCATAGCAACACGGCCAAATACGGCCTTAGACTGTAAAAAAATTATTTCAGTCATTTTTTATCTTATAAGGAAGCCATATGTAGTACTAACTTCCTAGGTAGCTGCTGGATTGTTGGGTCCCCTTGCCACTCCTAGTGGAGCCCGACCCTGAACTGAACCTGGTATTCACCAACACACCAGTAGTGATGCAAAGGATTGCAAAGCTCTGCAAATAGAACACAATGAAAATGCAGAACTGATTGCAGTAGGCTTAAAACGTTATTAATTAGCAGAGTATTAAACAGCACCGTAAAAACAGAAAAAATTTTTTTCCCTTAATACACAGGGCAAATGAAAGGGGAACAACTCTACCGACTTTAACAACAGAAATAAAAGATCTAATTACTCTATTATGAGGAATTACAAATAGCAATGTGGTCTGTCTATAATGCTCAGGCCCTATCTAGCTACTGGCCAGTGTACTTTGTCTTTGTACAAGGTGCTGAAAATCTCACTCTTTCCAATCTCACTCTTTCCAATCTCACTCTTTCCAATCTCACTCTTTCCAATCTCACTCTTTCCAATCTCACTCTTTCCAATCTCACTCTTTCCAATCTCACTCTTTCCAATCTCCCTGTTTCTACATCATTGTGCTTTTCTATTTATTAATAAATGCTATTTTATTTTCCATTTTCATCAGGCTTTGTGAATAAAAATAGTGCTTGTCTATTGACTGAAACAAAATTTGAAATACTAAACTCCAGCCATTTTTTTAAATGGATACACAGGAGAAGAGTTAAACTTTCTGTTGTTTTTATACCTATAACCTCATAGGACATGCAGAAAGTGGCTGTCACAAGGGCAAGTAGGTACAGCTGGAAGTGAGTGTAAATCTCCCCAAAAGGGACACAAAAACCCTACCAGAGGCTCTAACTCTTCCTTGCTGTGTACAAAATGAAGTAAAACGTTTTGGCTGGATTTGGGCTTTTAAAAATGCTGAGGAGTCTGATGATGGTGAAAGTCATATGTACTAAGGTCAATTTGTGGCATGCCACCAACTATCTTAGTAAGGATCACCATGTTATTAATCAAACATATTGAGGATATACTGCAGACTCTGTTGCGTCATCCATTGGGGCAGGCAATCTAAGCTGCTGTTAGACAGAAGGATCCTTGACAACAAGAACAACTGCAACTAAGATGAACAAGTAGACCACCACCCCCCTCCCCAAAGCCCATCCCACCCTATTAAGGAACGCTTCAGCTGCTGAGGTGACAAGGTATATTTACATGCTTTGACAGCCTCAGTACAATAATGAAATAATATTCACGGCTGAATTTTTACTTTATAAATATAATTATATAATACAAGTATACATTTATTATAGCTGAATAGCTGAGATGGTAACTAAATGCATATGTTATGAATTGCTAATATTTTTATCTTAAGGTTTATTAATGATATAATTTATGCATTAACTACCTGTAACACAGACATTTAAACTCAACAACCTAAAAGCCTGAGTGCCTACTGAAGGCAATATATGATAGCAGGGAAGAAAAAAAATGTTATTAAGCAATAATAGTCTGAAAATTGCACTTAAGACTGACATTTGTCATAAATAACATACTGAAGGTAATAATATGAGCACTTTACCAACAAAAAAAACATTTTACTGCAGCCAAAGTAACGTCTAAACAAATTTACATTGAGCTAGAGGGATATATTAAAAGAAACCAGAGACATTAAAACACATTTGTAAAAGTTAATTATAGCGGAAGTCTCAGTTTCATTGTGGAATGGACATCCATGTTAAATAAATATTCATTACAGATATCAGTTACGGTAGAATTCAGAGATTCCAGTTGAAGCTTTTGAAATCGCTGAAGGTTTCTTTTCTTCCTGGAAAAGCAAGCATGCTATTGATCAGCTTTGTTTTTCTATTAGCCCGGTTCACACCTGGGCGTTTTGTAGCGCGTTCGTACGCTCTGCAAACCGCTCAAACAGCGAAATCCCATTGTTTCCAAAGGGTATGGTTCACACCTGGGCGTATTTCAGGCCGTATGAACGCGCTACAAAACGGCCAACGCCCAAAGAAGTACAGGAGCTTCTTTGGGGCATTTTTGTCACGCGTTTCCATTGTGATACAGCAAGGTAACCCTCGGAAACGCGGTAAAAACGCGCGGCAAGAAACACGCGACAAACACGCATATTCGATACACCTAGGTGTGAACCCAGCCTTAGGGAATGATTTGAAGGGGTTGATTTACAAAAGACAAATAGGCTGTCCACTTTGCAGGGGAAATTTTACTTTGCAAGGTATTTTTTCTTTTCGGTGAATGAAGTGAAGTTCTGTTGACCTACCTCATCTAATCATATGCAAGCAAAAATAAAAAAATGTTTTAACTTTCCTTGCACATGATTGGGTAATTGTTTTGTTTTTATTTAACCACTTCAAGACCAGGTGTTTAGACCCCCTTCCTGGCCAGGCCATTTTTCAGTATTCAGCGCTGCGGTACTTTGACTGACATTTATTCCGTCATGCAATGCTGTACTGAAATGAATTTTATACCATTTTTTGGGGACAGATAGAGCTTTCCTTTGGTGGTATTTAAACATTATTTTTTACTATAATTAGGAAAAATTACAGAAAATTTTGAAAAAAAAAGGTTTTTTTTACATTATGTTAGGAAACATTTATTATTACCCAGTTTTTTGGTAAAATATAAAAGATCGGGTCACGTCGGGTAAATAGGCACCAAACATGTCAAGCTTTAAAATTGCGCGCACCCGCGAAATCGCAGAAAACTACCATACCCAAAATTGGCCATAGGCGACGCTTTAAAAGCTTTTACCGCTCATCAGTTTAGTGTTATCAGTGATTGATGGCCCTAGACTTATTGCTCTCACTCCGACGTTCGCGGAGCCGGCGGATCGCTTGTATGGTAACAGGCATCGCTGCCTGTTTTCAAATACCGTCCATTTCCCGCTCGGGCGGCGCACGCGAGGGGGCATGTCTGAGCGGACGTCTAAAGACGCCCGCTCAGATCTAGAGACCTCTCGGCCAGCCATTTTTTTACAACGGCCGGCCCTGAGGTGGTTAAAGGATCAAAAGTCTGGACTTTTTACTAACTGATTTAACCCTTTAGTGAATGGGTACGTACCCCTTACTCATTCACAAGGGAGGGGGGCGGCATCTGGGTGCCCCCTTAATTAAAGGGGTACCCCAATGCAAATAAGCCCCCTTGCCCGCAGACCCCCACAACCACCGGGTCAGGGTTATGAGGAAGAGGCCCTTGTCCCCATCGGCACAAGGACACCCTCCCAGTGCCGAGGGCATGTGGCCTGGTGTGGGAGGGAGGCCATTTCTGGCCCTGCCAGGCCTATGCTCGGATCAAGGGTCTGGTATGGAATTTTAGGGGGGACCCCACGTTTGTTCCCCACATTTTTGGGGGGTGGGGTTCCTCCTTAACATTCCTACCAAACCTTAAGGGTCTGGTAGGGACTTTAAGGGGCAACCCCACACACTTTTTTTTTCTTTTTTTTTTCCACAGGGTCCCTCCTAAATATTCCTACCAGACCTTAAGGGTCTGGTATGACTTTTAGGAGGAACCCTACTTTTAATTTTTTTTATGATCCTTCCTAACATTCCTACAAGACCTAAAGGGTCTGGTATTGTTCTGGAAGGGGAACTGCACACTTTAAGAGTAAAAAACAAAAATGTAATTTTTTTATTTTGTACAGATACAAAAGAGAGATAACCATCACGTTCATATGGAGACCCCCCAGTTTAAATCGTCTGATATAATCGAGTCATCATATGCAAAAAAACATCCGGTCCCCATGGGAATGGCAAAAACTGGCAGCAAAATACATAGAAATTACATTTGTAAAATAATTCCGATTTCCATACAAAGTGGCACAAAGATATAATGTCTCAGAAAATAGTGATACTGGGTCATATGGCAATCAGCACATCCGCATCAGGGAATATAGAATTATGAAACACAATGATAATAAGGAAGCATCACTTGCAATTAACCACAAGCACTATCCTATTTAATGAGGCAATCCATCTAGGAATACATTCATTCGTAAAAGCACTTTCATGATAAGTTCAAGAAGGCAGAGACAGGGTCAAAACATCTGCTATAGATTACATTGTTGAAAGGTATCATGATATAATGGAAAGAATATTTGTAACTGAATATGGCAAGCCTATATAATGCCTGATAATACATATATTAGACTATACACAATTACAAAATTAGAATGTTAAGGTTTTGATAAATAGAGATGCCATGCCTTCTCCTACACTTCACTTAAGAAACACATGGAGCATTGTTTGCAAAAGCTAAATAGAGAAGCTAGGATAAACATTTCCCACAACTCAACTAGTATTTAAAGTGGTCCTGGTCAAAGGACAAAACCCAAACAGAGAACTTTTTCCACATCACGAACCACCAGTCTGCCTTGTAGCAAGACAGACTCCATTTGTGGAGATCTCTCCATATGGTACAACAAAACTCAAAAGACTACCACACAATGTCTTGAGAAATACGTGGAGTATTTTTTTGTAAAA